CCCCCCCTCTAGAGTTGCACATTTGTCTAACAAGTGGTATCGGAGCGAGGAAGCAGGCTCGAATCCCCCGGGTGTCGCTGGGGGGGAGATTGTTGGTCTTATGGGGGACCATCGATCACCCTTAGGGATTCGCTACTGTGCTAGTCACGGTATCGGGTACTGACAGCCCAACCTGACGAGGTACACGAGTCGTGTATCTTGCGAAGCCCCTCCTGTCCATCCACCGCTCAGTAGTGGGGCTCCGCTCTGCCGTAGTGAACTATAGGGGGTGCCCTATAGGAATCTACCTCGGCTTGGGGCTACAGAGAGATGTGGTTAAATATAAAGTGTCCACCTCCCTATCATCAATTGGTTTTAGGAAGCATTTGGCACCTCTTTAACTTCAGAACTCTGTAGTTAAGCGTGCTGGAACGGGAGTAGTCCCAGGATGGGTGACCCACTGGGAAGTTCCAGAAAATGATCCTACAGCTTTACTATCATGAGCTAGAGGAAATAAAGATAAAACTCTAGGAGATGGATGACCCAAACGCCGGTGCCACAAGTCAAAGGAGCATCCTTTTATTGTCGTCATTGCACTACCTACTTGACACTGTTGAAAGTAGTACAAGCCCTCACTGTGCCTACCAGCACCAATCACCTGCGTCATGGCACGGTCCTGTAACACACATAATGTCCCATCGAATTTAACCACACAATTAGTCTCTCTTATGAGCTGGGAGACAGAGATCAACGCACAATTTAAATCAAGCACAAATAAAACATTATTCAATGTCAGAGAAGCATTCAAACACACTCGTCCGGTGATTGTGGCCGCAACCCGTTTTCCGTTTGGCAACCCAATCTAACATCCTGATATACTATGTGTATCGAACAAACTGCTAAGATCACCCGTCATATGGTTTGTGGCCCTAGTATCAATAATCCAAGTTCTAGTAAATGGAATACCTGGTAGCTTTTCAGTTGATCCATCTTTGGCGGAAGCGAGCAAAGCTCGGAAGGTGTCCCATTGGTCTGGGGTAAGCATAGGTACAGTGGGGACTGATTTTTGTCCGCTGCCAGGGAGGGGAGTAACAGCCGCCGCATTTGCCATGATTTGTGCCGCTATACCACGACCAAAGGCAGCTCCGCAGCCACAACCACGACCACGGCCTCGGCCTCCTCCACCCCGTGCGCATGAACCCCATCCCTCCGGGTAGTCGTGCAGTTGGAAACATGTGTCCCTCTCGTGAGCGATCTTTTTGCAATAGCTACAGGTGACACTTTGGTCATGATTTCCGTTTGTTGCAGGAATAACACGAGTGACGAAAGCTGTATTTTCCGGTCGATCACGAACATGCGAAGCCCAGGTAGTCTCTTCCTGCGTTAACACGCGATATGCACGTGCTGTGGTGTGGAACGGCTCCTGCGACATAAGCGTGGATTGAAGATGACCATAGATTGCTTCGTCCAGACCCATCAAAAACTGATGGACCTTCTCCTTGTCCCTTCTTTTCTCCAATTGCTGTGCTATATTACATGTGCATTTTCCACAAACACACATGGGATAAGGATCGATATCATTAAGGTCATGCCATAACTTCTTGAGTTTTCTGTAGTAGGCCGCAATGTTCAACCCACGTTGATCACAGGTTGATAGCTCTCTTTTGATTTGCTAAATTCGTGGTCCATTGACGACCAAAAATTGTGCCTTTATGTCCTCTCACAATTCGCTAGCCATCTCCGGGCGGTACGAATAGCTCGTGCCCACTCTTCGTAATTCTCGCCCTTCAAAACAACTTGGGTAATGATCAACCCAGGGTTATCATTTGCGTGTAGATCGTAAGGAGAGATTGTACGACGTTGTGGGACATCCTCGGCAGGTTTCTTTGAGGCTTGCTGCCGCCATGAATGATCAAGTCCTGCGATTCCTCAGCAAGGAGCACTGATCGAAAAACAAATATGTTGAAAAAAATGCTATGGCTCCGATACCATGATAAGTTTCATGGAATATTGGAATTGATTTATTTAGGTTCTCCCCGTGCATGTACAAGGTATGCATGTATAAGTACACAAAGTATTTACAATGAAAGAGATCCTTCCTAAACTACAAAAAGGTAACAATTGATCAAACATGGAATTCTTCATTAATAGGTCGTGCGTTCCTCCTTCAGTGGCGAGAATCATGCATAGCCATGATGTATATTATTTCCTTTTATAATATTAATTCCTTAATATTCTTTCATTCTTTTGTCAATAGTAGAGCCTGTGATATCATTTCCAAGACGTTCAAAGTGATTATCCTTTGATTCCACAAAATCTTCAATTAAATTCTGCATGACAGAAAAAACAATCCTTTTATGCAAGACACATTAACAAACAACACCTATGATGCGAACATAGTTTGAATTAAGCCTAAACAGTACTGCTTGATACAATAGCATTCCTCTCTTGTTTCAAATTTGCCTTGCTAACCTCTTTAATAAGACAGATCCGTTTCCCATTTTTTCCTTTCTATATAGTACTGCTGCACCTATATTCTCTTGCTTGATACCAAAAGCATTCATCTCTAAACTTTTTATTAAACTGAGCAAATCAGAGTTGCTAGTGTACACTTATTCCTCTCACTTACCCATATGCAATGCCAAGCACGGGTTAAAAGAATATACAAAGTTTATTTTATTCGCGCATTTTTTAGAGACCTAACCTTCACACATGATGATGCATCGCCCATTGAGAAGGTGTGCTGCGAGGATTTTTCCCCAGGTCTGCCATGTTGAACAAGTTGTTTTCATATGGAATCAAATATATATTGTATGTGTTGAATATAACTTCATTCTCCAATCAATGCATTCATACCATCATGTATATCCTAGACGCATGTTTAGGATCATGGCATACGTTGCATACCACGGCAAGGGGTTAGGCCCAGTGCGCCTCTTCCGTGGGCCCGTCCAGGAACCTACGGGATCCAACGGGTTTTCATCACGAGAGCTTGTGTACGTACATGGTAGATGGACTCAGCTATCACCCACATTCTAGTCTCCATCGGGATGACTAAGGCGTTCCTCGGCTCATCTACCGCGTGGGGATGATCACCGAAGGGCAGGGGTGTCCCTGCGCAGTCTAACTCATGCATCATGAATTATTCGGCATTGCATTATTCTATATTTCGTAACGGTAATTATTATTCATTATCTTGTTTATCAAACTCGTATGTGGTATCTCGTACTTTAGTACAGGTACGATTATGTTTATATCAATGTGAATGTACTATGTGTTCTACTGTTAGATTACCACTCGGCTTTTGCTGAGCGTATTGCGTTGTTTCCCTTTGCTATACGCAGGTAGGCGAGAGGATCATGGAGCCTGACCCGGATGATTGGGTGATCGGGGCGGCGGATGAACGATAGTGCGGGCCGAATTAATCATTTATTTAACATTCAAAGCGATTTGGGCATGAACCTACCGATGTTGCACTTACACTATTTTTGACTTAACAGTTTTATTTACATTTGCTTCCGCTATAAAACGTTTCTTTTAATGAATTTAATTTCATCATTTAATAGAATATATCAAGGGGTTTTCCGTTACAAGCAACGCAAGGGTTTTCCTTGTAGACGGCCTTAGAACCGTCTACGTAACCTCTCCGGCTCGTTGGGTCGCGGTGAACCGGGTTCGCGGGACGGAGGTTGTTACAGTAACAATGTCCACACTTAAGCCACTACATTACACTTAACATTGTGCACATGTATTTAATGTAATATACTCATTTAACCTCAATACAATCTTTTAATGTCTCTATTGTTGCAGCCTTTGTAAGCTTAAGAAAGTCCTCATCCACTGAATAAAGTAGCCCATGATTCATTGAGGCATTTTTTATATTATGGGGCGAAACAGCTTCTAAATATTGAGTCAGGATTGTTGCATCATGACACACTCTTGATACCCTAAAAGATTGCTCTACACGTCCTCTGAACATCGACTTGACTTCAACCTTAAATAGGAAACTCTTACCCAACAAAAAATCAACAAACTCTTGTGGATTTTCAGTGTTTCCATCCTTCAGTTGGTGTAAAATGAAAGTCATTAACTGTTCAAGGATTAAATAACTCAAATACGTACAGTATATTAAATAAAGAACACATACACTATCTGTCTTTTCCAACAAAAGGGAGCATGACGTATTTAAAATCAAAGAGGCTTCATGGTCAAATAACACAAAGATAGTTGAACTGGAATCATCTCTAACAGATAACTGGTAGAATAGAAATCATATATTAGTGTTTGGGCAAAATCAACACAATAATGAACATTTAATTTTAGAGGATCTTATATTTAAAAAATATCATTGATACCTCAATACCATCCTTCAGCAAAGAGATTGTTGTTGTTCGCTTCGCATCCAAAAATTCATTTTGTTGCACGACTGTTATGTCATCACAGGCCAACTCAAGAGGTTGACGGTTCCTTGCCACACCAATAACCCTTAAGCAAACGTGTCATTTATGTGTAGTTAGCGACTGAAAAACTGACATATATTTACAGTAGTTGGTAAAACTTCAAAGGCCTATGAATTTTTATACCTTTGTCGGAATGCAACAACCTCTTCTATTTCAGGATTTAACAGAAGACGCGTTCCGTACATGACATTCTGCAAAATTATCTTTCCTGCAAATAATCCACACGTGTAGTTTTAAATTAAAAATAACACAAAGGATCACAGTAAGGTTTACTTAACGTAATAAACATTGTGGTTTTAGTATATAAGCACTCGTAGTACCTTGAAAAGTTTTCAGCTTTGCATATTGAATCACAATGATCGCATTTTCCAATGGTTGTCTCCCAAAGAAGCTTTTGATCTTGTCAATGTATTCCCCAAACAGTGTTATATCTAACGTCGCCCTGAATCACCAGGTAAAAAGAAAAAAATAAATTAAACATTTATAGATGTAATAATCATACCATTGTCGCTACAAAGTTATGATTAAATAAAGTACCCATCCGCTTCCAACTGAATCTCGATCATCTTTGTCCTTTTGGACTCTTTAACAATTTCTTTTTGCTTGCCCACAGCAGTTAGGACCCCCATAGTGTCTGATAAAATATAAAATATGAGATATAATCTTAAACTTATTGGAATAAACTAAATTTTGGATGAGTGAGTGATTTATTACCAAGTAAATATGGGTAGTTTGAGTCTGCCTTCAAAATCTCTGAAATAGTAGTCAACTTAAGACCATGCACAGGTATTCTCTCATAGCTACATGCAGTAACAGTGGTTCTGGGTTGGAAATTCAGCCTGAACTCATGTCAAGAGGTCCGATAATATCCACTACTAATGCTGATGCCAAAATAGGCAAAAACATACACAGACCCTTCATTTATCCGCTTCTCAAAAGTTCCAACCAAACTTCTCTGGACAGTGGCATGTATCGCAGTTCCCTACATTTTTTTGTTCAAATTAAACATCATCAAAAATCAGCAACAACATATCCTATTAGGAAACAACAACAAATCTGAATATAATAACAAAAAAATAACAAAACATCTTAATCATACACTAAGCAAACAGGCAGCAGCAAGGCTGTCTTTAAGGATGCAAACAGGCAGTAAGGCTGTCTTTATAATCATACACTAAAGACCTATGAAACTATAATCCACACACAGCAAATAAAACCACTGAGTCAGTACACCTCACTAAACCCACCTCTTAAGAAACAACAATAAATCTGAAAATAATAACAAAAAAAGCAACAACAAAACATCTCAATCATAAACCAAGTAAACAGGCAGCAGCAAGGCTGTCTTCAAGGATGCAAACAGGCTGCTTAGTACTTAAACCGTTACAGTTACTGATTTCAATATACTTAAACTATCCAAACACCTCACTAAACCCACAGTAGCTATTTAAATCAGTTTGTTAAAATCAGATAAGTGTATGTGAAAGGTAACCATGCAAGGATAGGCAGCGGAATACAAAAATTTTAACATCCTAACATGATTATCTTGCCCAGAATCACGTACTAAAACTTATAGTAGTAAGAAAATTGTACCTTTCTCCGTAAGCGGTAAAACGAAGAAGTTGTAGAAAGAGCGTTGAAAGTGCAAACGTAACCGTTCAAGCGTCCGGTCTCCAACTTTGACACACGAACAACGCCGGAGTCTACCACAATCTTTATGCTAGTAAAGATTATAGTAGTATAAAATATAAAGATTAAAATTTGGGATAATAATAATCTTGTATATTTCTTTAGAAAATATTTCTAATAATATTTAGAAAATATTATAGATATTTTCTGTACACAAAATGATATTAATGGAGGACTTAAAATAATTTTCTCTCACTAGAATCTCAAATGGCCGAAAATCATAAAAACTACTTTTTACAAAATGGAGTGAATTGTTTAAATAAAACAAAGATGCTCCATTATTTTTGTCATTAGCTAAATGACAAAATTAATTAGTCCACTAATTTATCAATCAAGCAAAACATTAGCAATTTGTCAATCCATTTTATCATA